CCTAGCGGCTGTCGGCTTGTAGTTCTCAACGAACTACCACCGTGCTGTGAGTGCTGCGGTAGTTCATTGAGTCTTCCTGTCAGAAGTATCTGCTTGCCCGTACGAGATGTATGCACATGCAGATACACTGACAGTCTGCAGGAGACCTGCATGATTGCTGCTGCAAGGCTTTCCAGGCTCCTACTATAAAAAATAATGCATGCACATTTATTTACCTTCAATTTATTATTTAAGGTGAACTTATTCTTTAACTTTCATGATCCAATGTTATTATGGTTTTTTCCCCTTAAGTGTCACATGATCACAGGGCATTTGATTTTCTCCTCTGAATGCCACAACTCCTTGTAGGAAAAGAGCTGCCTAAAAATGCACCTACAGCCACATACTGCACACATGTTTAGGTGCATTTAGGAGTGTCAAGTATTTGAACATTAATGGATTCCATTGGCCAGAATGTTTCTTTATTCTGGCCATTGAAAGGCATTAATGCTCAACCACACCTAAACATGCCTGAACGCATTGTGGCCATTGGAACATGTCTTAATGTGCCTAAATGCATTTTTTCTACTCTTCCCCTCTTCTCATGAACACACTTTTGATGTTTAATGCTGGTTAAATGCTGCTCTTCTAATACACCTGTAAATACCTATGTACTCATAGAGGGGGGACCCAAAGTGTTGACACCATAGGACTAAGGTGCTTCAGAGACCAAGATCTGCCTTGATGGCATCATCATGCTCACTTAGGCTGCATTCACACTTGGACGATTTGTAGCTTGAAGCTCCAAAAATGCTCAAGCTTAAAAAATCAATTGTTCTCTATGGTGCCTGTTTGTGCGATAAAACATGTACAGGCACCATAGAGAACAATTGATTTTTTAAGTTTGAGTATTTTTGGAGCTTCAAGCTACAAATTGCTCAATGTGAATGCAGCCTTAGAAGACAGGTAAAGTTTCACCAATGCTGCCCTTTTCCAATTGGGGAAGGGCAGCATCACCTAGTACATCACCTAATGAAAATGTATTAAAAGAAAAAAATGCCAAAAACATACTCAAATACAAGATAAAAACAGAATAAGAAAAAATTGAATATGTATGCTGTACGTCTAATAAAACATACCCTTAAAGTAAAAGAAACAAAGAATGAACTTGGATGTTGGACTACTAGAAAATGGCTGCCACATGGAGGTGTCACCAGAGGGAGGAGGAAGTGGGCAGAGAACCCACAAACTTAAGACTCAGCCTCTCCTCCTATCTGCATGCCCCTGAAAAGGTGACAAGAACAAGCAGTGAGGGAGTATGCAATGGTTGGGCTGCTCGCCAGAAGAAAGTTGCAATTTCTAGGGTGTTGGGGTGTATATTTAGGGGTGCTGGGAGTCAGGGGTGCAGTCTGTTGAGAGACTTCTCCGACCGAGTGTTTTAGCTGGCTTGAATATAAGCATGAATGCTCAGATATGCATTGCCATGGTCTAAGTCCCAGTGTAGAACAGACCAGCAGGTCCTAGAAAATGTCTTTCGTTGATGTCAAGGCCATCCCTCTAGCCTTTTTCCCTTTGACATAAAGCATAAAGAGATTCCAGATCAAGTTGTCAGAATGGCAATCATGTAACTCACAATATTTCAGAAGTAGAATAAGAAATGGCAGCCTTCATGTTTCTCTCATGAAAGGTTTCTGTAGAACTTGGCACAAAATCCATTCAACATTATATATAGTTACACTAAACACAATTTATAGACATAGATACAGTGGGGATCGAAAGTTTGGGCACCCCAGCTAAAAATTTGTATTAATGTGCATAAAGAAGCCAAGGAAAGATGGAAAAATCTCCAAAAGGCATCAAATTACAGATTAGACATTCTTATAATATGTCAACAAAAGTTAGATTTTATTTCCATCATTTACACTTTCAAAATAACAGAAAACAAAAAAATGGCGTCTGCAAAAGTTTGGGCACCCTGCAGAGTTAATATCTTGTACTGCCCCCTTTGGCAAGTATCACAGCGTGTAAACGCTTTTTGTAGCCAGCCAAGAGTCTTTCAATTCTTGTTTGAGGTATCTTTGCCCATTCTTCCTTACAAAAGTCTTCCAGTTCTTTGAGATTTCTGGGCTGTCTGTCACGCACTGCTCTTTTAAGGGCTATCCATAGATTTTCAATTATGTTGAGGTCAGGAGATTGTGAAGGCCATGGCAAAACCTTCAGTTTACGCCTCTTGATGTAATCCCCCGTGGATTTCGAGGTGTGTTTAGGATCATTATCCATTTGTAGAAGCCATCCTCTCTTTAACTTCAGCTTTTTCACAGATGGCATCAAGTTACCATCCAAAATTTGCTGAAATTTTATTGAATCCATTTTTCCTTCTACTCGTGAGATGTTCCCTGTGCCACTGGCGGCAAACACAACCCCAAAGCATGATTGATCCAACCCCATGCTTAACAGTTGGACAGAGGTTCTTTTCATTAAATTCTGTGCCACTTCTTCTCCAAACGTACCTTTGCTCATTCCGACCAAAAAGTTCAATTTTAACCTCATCGGTCCACAGAACTTGTTTCCAAAATGCATCAGGCTTGTCTATATGTTCATTTGCAAAGTTCAAACGATGATTTTTGTGGTGAGGACATAGAAGAGGTTTTCTTCTGATGACTCTTCCATGAAGACCATATTTGTACAAGTATCTCTTTATAGTGGAATAGTGTACCACAACTCCAGTGTCTGCCAGATCTTTCTGGAGGGATCGTGCAGTCAAACGTGGGTTTTGAATTGTTTTTCTCACAATCCTGCGAGCTGTTCTGTCTGATATTTTTCTTGGTCTTCCAGATCTTGCTTTAACTTCCACTGTTCCTGGTGACTGCCATTTCTTAATTACATTCTGAACGGAGGATATTGACATCTGAAAACGCTTTGCTATCTTCTTATAGCCTTCTCCAGCTTTGTGAGCGTCAACTATTTTCAGTTTCAGTTTTCTAGACAACTGCTTAGAAGAACCCATGGTGCTTATTGTTGGGGCAAGGTCAGATGAGTCTGGCCATTTAAAACCTTTGAGATTGACATCACCTGGTCTTCCCAGACGATGATTGAGAACAATCCATGACACTGGCAGGTCTCAGCTTTGCAAAGGGGGCAGTGCATGCTATAAATTCTGCAGGGTGCCCAAACTTTTGCAGACGCCATTTTTTTGTTTTCTGTTATTTTGAAAGTGTAAATGATGGAAATAAAATCTAACTTTTGTTGACATATTATAAAAATGTCTAATCTGTAATTTGATGCCTTTTGGAGATTTTTTCCATCTTTCCTTGGCTTCTTTATGCACATTAATACGAATTTTTAGCTGGGGTGCCCAAACTTTCGATCCCTACTGTACATAGTTAGTCTGGCTGAAAAAAGATAAAAGTCCATCCAGTTCAACCATTAAAAAAAAAGTTATAATCCTACCCTCACAGTTGATCCAGAGAAAGGCAAAAAAAAAACCCAGCAAAGCATGATCCAATTTGCTCCTGCTGGGAAAAACAATTCCTTCCTGATCCCCTGAGAGGCAATTGGATATTCCCTGGATCAACTTTACCTGTAAATGTTAGTATCCAGTTATATTCTGTGTATCTAAGAAAGAATCCAGGCCTTTTTTAAAGCAATCCACTAAGCTGGCCAGAACCAACTCTTGAGGGAGCCTATTCCACATTTTCACAGCTCTCACTGTGAAGAAACCTTTCCATGTTTGGAGATTCAATTTCTTTTCCTCCCGACATAAAAAGTGCCCCCTTGTCCTCTGTGATGACCTCAGGGTGAATAACTCTACACTGAGTTCACTATATAAACCACTGATGTATTTATACATGTTGATCATATCCCCCCTTAATCTCCTCTTCTCAAGAGAGAATAAATTCAGTTCCTCTAATCTTTTCCTCATAGCTGAGCTCCTCCATGCCTCTTATCAGTTTGGTTGCCCTTCTCTGTACTTTCTCCAGTTCCCCAATGTTCTTTTTGTGAATTGGTGCCCAAAACTGAACTGCATATTCCAGATGAGGTCTTACTAATGATTTGTACAGGGGTAAAATGATTTCTCTCTCTCTGGAGTCTATACCTCTTTTAATACAAGAGAGGATTTTGCTCGCTTTAGAAACCACAGCTTGGCATTGCAGATGACCATCTCAACTACTTAAATATCACCTGTTGGATAATATTTACAGCATACTTAACTGCTTAAGGACTGTCCGCCCACAATGTACTGCGCACAGGCGGCCCGTGCAGGCACAGCAATGTACTGGTACATTGTTGCCTGCTTCTGGGTATAGGGCACGTGCATGCACGCCCCCCGCTGACACCTGCTGGGACTGTACACAGCAGGAGTCTGTCAGCAAGTCCCGGCCAATGATTCATGGCCGAGACCTGCTGATCGGCTGTGTCCAATTACAGTTCAGAGCCCTGTATTGACAATCAACACAGGGCTCTGTACAGAGGGGACAACTTCTTTGTTTCTCATCCCTGCAAATCAACAAACAGAAACAAAGAGATCTATTAGTAAAAGCAGAACACATTACACATTGTTAGGCACACATTTGACCCCTTGATCGCCCTAGATGATAACCCTTTCCAGCCAGTGTCATTAGTACAGTGACAGTGTATAGCACTATCACGGTCACTGGTGATGTCAGTGGCAGTTAGTCAGTCCCCCCCAGTGTCAGTTAGTGTCAGATTGCCCGGCGCATTATTGCAGTCGCTGATCACCACCATTAGTAGTATTCAATATAAAAAAATCCAATATATATACCATAGTTTGTAGACACTATAACTTTCACGCAAACCAATAAAAGACAGGCAGCAATATACATTTTGGCCAAGATTTTCTTTCGTTTATATCACAAAAAATAAAAAACCCAGTGGTAATCATTAATCACCAAAAGAAAACTCTATTTATGTGAAAAAAATTATATAAATTTCGTTTGGGTACAACATTGTATGACTGCGCAATTACCAGTTAAAGTAGTGCAGAGCCGAATGTAAAAAAAAGGGCCTGGTCATACAGGGGGTAAAACATTCAAGAACTGAAGTGGTTAATATGTGATAGCAAAATATTTAGATGTTTACATCCTATGCTCAATTAATCTGAATAGCCTTTTTTTCTGCTCAGCAATTGCGCCATGAAAACCTGGTAAACCTATTGGAAGTTTGCAAGAAAAAGAAACGTTGGTATTTAGTCTTTGAATTTGTGGATCGGACAGTGCTTGATGACCTTGAACAGTTTCCCAGTGGATTGGACTTCAACCGAGTACGAAAGTATATGTTTCAGATTATCAGAGGAATTGGATTTTGCCACAGTCACAATGTGAGTAGCACAATAGCAAACTTGTTGCAGCAAGTAAATTTTATTGATGTGTTACATACTACTGTATTGTTTCTGACAGTCACAAGGGCGCGCCCCCTTGATACGTCATCATGCTTTGTGATTGGTCAAAGAATTGCACCTGATCACATTCTTTGGCCATTGTTAATGTAGGCCTTTGTCAGGCTTCAAATTTGGTATTACAAGCAACATTAAAGTGGAAACAATACAGGTGGCACAGCATATAAAATCTAAAAATCTAAAGTGCAGTATCTTAATAAATAAACGTCCTTTTCTTCCCAGTTAATGTGATTATTTTTTATTTGAATCAATTAGAAAGAGTACAGTGAACTGTGCACGTGAATGTTAACATACGTTTAATTTTTCCGCGTCACATACACCTTATCTTTGCTCTTACCAGGCTGTTACTATGGTTCATCTATGGTCATGAACAAGCATGCGTGTTTAGTTGGAGGGGGTTGCTCACAGCTGTTAGTCACTGAGAATGAAAAATATGCAAAACACCCAGTGGTCATTAAATATCTAACAATGGCTTTATAAAGACTCATGTGCAGCAAAATTTTTACAATAGGTTTATACAGTGCTATTTTTCTAAAAACCTCAAATGTGTGGATGAGGGAAATCAGTAATTTTTTTTTCGATCAACCAGCTGGTTGAATTAAAAAAACTGATCAATCTATGGGTTGCCTTAGTTTCCACCTGATAAAGAGATTGTGTTCAAAGTAATAATAATATTATCATTAATACTACCGGTACTACTAATAATAATAATATACTGTAGAAAGTTTAATATTAACTATGCATGTGAGGTCAGTGAAGAAGAGGTGCAATTATCAGGCTTCACAGTGGCTAAACTGCTGTGTTGGAACATAATGGATTCCTCCCTAATATCTTCAACTATCATTCTAAATACACCAGCAGTTGTTACTGGGAAAAAAGCAGGACACAAGCCAGGGACTTTTTCTGTCCACATCTATGTCAGTGCTGATTTAATGTCTTCCCCACCTCCACCACTCTGCCAGCCTTCCTAACCCCCACCTCTCTGCTCTCCTGCTCTCACTATTTGCCATCCTCTGCCACCACTCTGCCTACTTCCCACACCTTTATCACTATCCTCCGTTCTTACAACTCTGCCAACCATCCTCACTTACCACTCTGTCAGCCCTCTCCACCCCTCTCTCAGCACTCTGCCAACCTCCCTCAGCACTGGTCTCAGCACTTTGCCAACCTTCCCCACCACTGCTCTCAACACTCTATCTGCTGCCCCCTCACCACCCTGCTAGCTACCATCCACCCATCTCCTGTTCTCACCACTTCCAACTTCTGACAGCCTTGTTCTCACAACTTTTCTAGCCCTTTCTCCCACGCCAGCCCTCAGCCACTACCCACTCTGCTCTGATCACTATGCCAGTCACCCTCCCCCTCCACTCTGACTACTATGCCATTGCCAACCCTGTTCTTACCACTCTGCCGAATCCCCCCCCCATGCTCTCACCACCCTGCCAGCACTCTCCCCACATCCCTGGCATAATCCAAAATTGCTCTGCCGGCAACCCCACTGCCTGCTTTCACTACTGTGTCTTCTTACCCCATGACCACTGTAACTGCCCTCCTTCCCCCGCTCTTATCACCCTTGCCCTCTCACCATTCTTTCAGCCACCACCATGCATCATACCACTCTGCCAGCCAGAACCTAATCCTGCCCCCACCCCCTGATCTCACCACCCTGCCAGCCAAGTCCCCACCCGTCTAGCCACTATCAGCTACTCCCATCTCTCTCACCACTCTATCAGCCCTCCTTTACTAACACTATGCCAGCTCCCTTTTTCTCTATTCTCAACACTCTGTGAGAACCCATCCAGAACTCCCCCCCGCCCACACTCCCCATGATCCTGCTAGCCACCTCCTACTCTTATTTATATATTTATATGGCAGTCCTCCTTCCCTTTCCCTTACCACCCTGACATCCCCCTCCTGCTCTTACTCTTGTTGACAAAACGTGGGGCAGGGACATGGTGGTGACATCACATATATTCGTATGGTACAGATGTACCAGTGTTAGAGAATACGGTTGATCCTTCAATACTGAGCATGCACTAGTTACTGCATTGTCTACTTTTTTATTCATAAAAAAGTAGTATTTTGCTATGCAAGTTTCTGTTTATATATCCCTGCATAGAGAGCTTCATGGAATGGGTTTCCATGGCCAAGCAGCTGCATCCAAGCCTTACATCACCAAGTGCAATGCAAACCAATGGATGCAGTGGTGTAAAGCACACCGCCACTGGACTCTAGAGCAGTGGAGAAGTGTTCATTGGAGTGACGAATCACACTTCTCTGTCTGGCAATCCAATGGATCTGTCTGGGTTTGGCGATTGCCAGGAGAACAGTACGTGGAGGGGGGATTATGGTGTGAGGTTGTTTTTCAGGGGTTGGGTAGGTAGGTAGGTAGGTAGGTAGGTGGATTGGTAGATAACACAATTGGAAAGTATTGTTATATATTTTTGGAATATCTTTTAGGAATATTTTTTACAGCAGCTGTTTGGAGAAATATTTTTAGTGTAGCAACACATAGTTTTTTGGTTTTATTTTTATACACAAAGCATTGACAAAACATGCCATGACAACACTACAAACAGAATTGTACTGCCTTTACCATAGAGGCATTTTAAAATGATCATTATTATTATTATTATATTATTATACAGGATTTATATAGCGAAAACAGTTTGCTCAGCGCTTTACAATATAATGGGAGACAATACAGCAACAATACAGTTCAATACAAGAGGGATAGGAGGGCCCTGCTCTTTGGAGCTTACAATCTAGGATAGGCATTGTTGTGGCATAAAACCCAAAATGTTTTATTAATTATTTCTTTCATGTTTTTTTTAAACTCTGTTTCTTCATCTAGATCATCCATCGGGGACATAAAGCCAGAAAACATATTAGTGTCCCATTCTGGAGTGGTAAAATTGTGTGATTTTGGATTTGCTCGTACATTGGCTGCCCCAGGTGAGGTTTACACAGATTATGTAGCCACACGATGGTACAGAGCACCGGAGCTTTTGGTTGGGGACATCAAATACGGCAAGTAAGATGGTTTTGCAATAATATACAATAGTATAACTTTCTTGATTGTGAAAGTTTTTCAGTAACTAGCACTGTGGTAATTTTCTTATCAGAGCTGTTGATATATGGGCAATTGGCTGCTTGGTAACAGAAATGCTGACTGGGGAACCACTTTTTCCTGGAGACTCGGATATTGATCAGTTATACCATATCATTAAATGCCAAGGTATATTTCATTATATTTTATGCCTGTAAAATATAAATAACTGCAATTATTTCATCAATTGGGGAGTGTGGCATTCAAGATTGTGTGGTATAATATAAGCCATAAAATTCATAGCCCTTAGTATTACCATCTGATATTAGATTAGTTATATGTTATTGGTACAGCTACTAATGCTATCTAGTCAGAGCTGGATTTCCATCACTGAAGTCTGCCATACAACGAAATGATCATCTCTTTGCTAGGATCACCGCTTCAACAAAGAACACTTTTTTGGTTTAGTGTTCCCTGCCTGACTGAATATTATGAAATATATAAAAAAGCTTATAAGAGATGCCCATATTTTGTACTAATCATGGTAAAACATTTGTGACCAATTATACAAGAAAAAAAAATTCACCTTTTTGTCTCTATCGACATAGTCCTTCTCTGCCTAAATCTGGCCTTCTGCCCTGTAAACAAAGCACCTCTGCCTAAAGTGATTTTGTATCTGAGTTTAAACCTGTCAAAAAGCCCAACATTCAAAAGAAAAGGATTTATACCCATTCTCTTGCAGAAAAACAGCCTCTTTATTCCCAACACACTTCTAGGAGTATGGCAGAGGATGCAGGCATCTGACACTCCCGGAAATGTCAAATGTAGATTACAGAGATGGATTTAGCTCTTGTACAGACCAAAGACTGAGGAACCAGTGGTGGAACGGATGAGTATAGATCCTTTCCTTTGCATATTGCTCTTTTTGACATTTTTTTGACCATGACATAACTGCTTTAAATGAGAAAGTTTAGAGAATATACTTTGAGACAGCAAGGATAGGGCTCCGACACAACCACTGGGTGCATTGCTGGTTCACTGGGTTACAGACAAAAAGTGGGACACTATGAAACAATATTGTCTGGATGAAGAACTGAACTATTTAGCAGGTAGGATAGGCTTCCTATGTACATCTCAAAGTTAGACTAGAACTCAGTAAAAAAAAAAAAAAAACATAGAAGATAGAGAATCAGAAGACTAATGATATAATTATATTTGGTGGAATTTACTGACCTTTTAGTAGACGTACAGCAGTTTCTAATGAGAGCCTTTGAATTTAGAGTAGTTTCTCCTTCTGTACTTGGTTCACAACTAAACATCTGGACTGCATACTAGGATAATTTAGTGTATGGATTACTAGCTGAAGGTTTGGGACTCTTGGCAGTGCATTAAATAAATATTTTTATTGCCCTTTATATTTGCCTAATGTGATTCAGTGTCAATATGATATAAACAATCATGCTGCTTTACTAAAGAAGTTCAGGATCTTTACTTAATAAATTGAGTTCAGATTCACTTCAGTTATCCAATCATGTGAAAAAAAAATCTAATCTCTGTTTATTTGCACATGCTTGGGCATTCAAAGCATACATAGTTAAAATGTGTTGAATGAAGATTCTCATCTCCTTTAGTAAATGAGCCTTGCTATATAAACTGTGAACAAAAGAAAAAGTCATCAAGGACAGAAGGCCCATTTATATGATAAACTGTACAGCTATAATTATCAAGGATATGATGGATATTTTTTTTTAAAGAAACATATTGGGGTTGATTTAATAAACATGAAGAGTGCAAAATCTGGTACAGCTGTGCATGGTAACCAATCAGCTTCTAACTTAATAGAGAGAATCATATCTTACATTTGATGGGATTTTGAAGGCAATCTTAACCACTTCAATACCGGGCACTTATACCCCCTTCCAGCCCAGGCCAATTTTCAGCTTTCAGCACTGTTGCATTTTAAATGACAATTGTGCGATCATGCAACACTGTACCCATATGACATTTTTATCATTTTTTTCACACAAACAGAGCTTTCTTTTGGTGGTATTCAATCACCACTGAGTTTTTTTTATTTTTTGCTAAATAAAACAAAAAACACCTGAAACGTTTGAAAAAAACCCCCACACTTTTCTTCGTTTCGGTTATAAAATTTTGCAAATAAATAACATTTATTCATAAATTTAGGTCAAAATGTATTCTGCTACATTTCTTTGGTGAAAATAATAATAACTGAATTTGTGTTTTTTTCAATTGTTTCTATTATTTTTTTTTTAATTAAATTTTTTCTTTTTTTTACTATTTTATTTTTCAGCACACTGTGACCAAACCAATACAATGTTACCATGGTAACATTGAACTACTCTGGGCAGCAAGTGATCAGGGCTTTTTTTTTTTAACACGTTATGGTTGCCAGTGTATTTAATTGATATGTGCAATCATTTTTACTGAATTAAACTTATTGATTCAGTCTTTTGTTGTGATTAGCTGTGATTGGGCAAAGCTGATCACATGATACAGATAGGCTGTGATTGGCCCTGTCTGTATATGTGACTGCCTTGACCAGTCACAGCTTACAACATAATTGTATACAATTATGGACACAGCCAGTGATAGATTGCGCAGCTGCATGGCCCCATGGCCACGTAAGCGGGTCGTTTTGACACAGCCGCCAATCTGCTATAGACCAGGAGGGAACGTGTTAAATTACACTAAAAAAAAAAAAATTTTAAAACAAGAATCAACATTTTATTTATACAAGTCATTACATTTTTTTTCTTTTGTTTTGCTTACCAGCACATAACAAGATGGTCATTACATATTACCAAATATATAGCACAGCAGTTTTGACAACTTATTCACTTTACAAAGTTGTGGTTGTTACAATATGTATCCGGTGGTATCCCCCAAAGCTGATTCCCATCTTGCAACCTCAAAATTTAACTGCAGATATATTCAGCCTGTTGATTCTTGTTTTTAAAAAATTTATTTTTTGTGTAATTTAAGGTTGAGTTAAAAATCTAATCAAATGTAAGATATGATTCTCTCTATTATGGAAATAGGGATGATGGCAACCACACCCTAAGCTACACTGATCTATTTTTGTTATCAGCTTCTAACTTCAGCTTGTTCAATATGCTTTGGCAAACAAAAACTTGGAAGCTCATTGGTTTCTCTGCAGAGCTGCACCAGAGTTTGCACTCCTCAGTTTTAGTAAATCGTCCATTAGCAAGGGATGAGCGCATGTGTGTTCGGATCCTAGTCCAAACCTGCCTGAGCTATCCCACCAGAAAGGCTAAGGCAATCCCTGCCCTGCAACTGCACGTATACAAGGGAAATGGGACCCCTTTTACAGTGACAACAGTAAATACGGGAATTCCCCTCCCCTTGGTGGGAGTTCCTCCAGGATGTGAATTGTAAAAATACTAACGGAAACAAAACAAAATTGATTTTAGCTATGGTGTACTCTATCCAAAACTATATACAAAAATATTTGGCTATAAATACACTTTAAATTAACCTGTAAAATGGTTAAAAATATGTGTAACAGGTGAATGGTATTAATAATTAATATCCAGCAGTAATGGTTGTATTAACAGTGTTTCTTGACAAATTTATACAATTTAAAATACATGCTTAGGTCTCTGACCATCATGGCATGTTAATAGTAAAATTTAATTTTTTTGGCAGCTACAAGACACAGTAAAAAAAATAACATAAACCCTTCTGTTCTGTGTCAGATTCTTAACACAATGCTAATCAATGATGATGTGAGTTTGTATACAAATGTTTCATTAAGCGCATACCACAGAATACTTGGCTGGTAATGATATGTGTAGGTCTGTCAATTATTACATTTCACAATAAACATACTGGTATTACATTTACAAATTACAGATCCCTTAACTGTATGTTGTAGGTAACCTGACGCCACGACTTCAGGATCTCTTCTATAAGAACCCATTATTCGCTGGAGTAACCTTGCCAGAAATTAAAGAGATTGAACCTCTTGAAAGAAGATATCCTAAGCTTTCTTCTGTCATATTAGATTTAGCCAAGGTATGGTTTATTAATATACAAATAATAAATATATGTTCATTATGATCAGTGTTCTATATCATATTTCATGTTTGGTTCTCTTTTAAAATCTAGTGCAGAGTGAAGTGACTAAAACTGGTGCACAGTAGCCAGTCAGACTCTAACTTCAGCTGGTACAATTAAGCTGGGGCAATAAAACCTGGAAGCTAATTGGTGTCTATGCAGAGCTCACCAGATTTTGCATGATTGTATGGTTACAGTATAAACGTTAACTGTTATGTTATTTAGACAACACTACTGTTTCACACAACCATGATAGGGGCCTAAAGGGCTGTTTGTAATCATCTTTTGGTTCCTGCTATTTAGACAAGTTTTTCACCCAAATATAAATGTCTGCCAAAGTAGAAAAAAGCATCCACTTCCTTGCAGTTCTCTCCAGACTGGGGAATCCTCAAAAAAAAAAAAAAGTAAATGAAACAAAGAGGGCACTGGCATGGTGTAATGTTCTCAAAAATGTTTAATTGGTAAAATAAATATAATATCCCAGAAGTGGGCTCTGCTGAAGTAGTGCTGCAGGATATTAGAGGATAATCTTTGAATGAAGCACTAATGGACGTATGATGGCATTTGTTGGTCAATGAACTGTTCCTTATGGAAATGAGAGAAGGATCTCTTTTTATCACTTTTGTGAGTGTAATATATTTATTTAAATCAATGCACTCTGTTTCATTTACAGTTAAGGTTTTCACCAATTATAGGTCTTTGTCTCCTTTGGTAATGATTGCCGGTGTGCCATATTTTAAGCTGTGTACCGGGGTGGGCTCCCCAGGATACAGTGAAGTCACGAACGAGGAAAGCAACCCCAACACCAGCTTTTGTCACAACAGAATTTTACTTAGATGTGGCAAATAAACAAAACCACAAATGCTGGAATATACAATAAATTTACATACACCCAGCCCAAAGGCTGAGACCCTTGTGCTACACAGCACAGCGCCTTCTCATGGATGAAGGTAGAAAGTGTAGTAATTTACCTACTGGCGGGCACAACTAAGCTGCCACACCTTACCTGTTATTACCCTAAAAGAACAAGAATCAGTGTATGGGTGTATGGTATGGGCTAGCCTGCGGTGCAGGACAACAGCTTACAATCTTACACAAATCTACAGTATTCCCCCTCCCATAACTGGTCCTGTGGCAGGTGCCTGAGTATTCCTTCTGAGCAAAACGCCAGTCTGGCTTGAGTTTGTAGGATTTTACACTTGTGGCCTGACACAAACAGAGACCCTAACTAACTAACTATAGGCCTGTCTCAGTCCTATAGGTGCCAACACTGAAATGAGGTGCATGCACGATCTTACCGACCCGGGTCTGCTTTTCATCCGCTGGTGACTCTGAACAGAACAAATGTCTCTCCACGATGCATGCGATGTCACAGTATATATATTACTTAGTTCCTCAGCTTCCCATCAGCTTTTTGGCCGCAATCTTCCTTTCTTTGAACAGGGTTAGCGTCTTGAACACCATCAGCTTCACTCAACTGAAGTTCTGATTACGGAGGGCTGTCCTCACATCTGGATGGCATCAGATTCTCGGATCACACAGCCCCCCTTTCTCTCTCTCAAGCATGGCTGCTCTCCTCTCCTTTTCCTGTTCACTTCCCATGTCTAAAACCCCATCTCTTCATGATTATAGAAATCTCTATGCATTCTGAGGCTGTGTTAGAAAAAACAGTGACATCTTGTGGCTAAACTGCAGAATGTCAGTCAGAAAGTTTTTAATTTACTTCAATCAGTGTTCAAACAATGAAAGCTGTTTCCCCATCTCACAATATCATGCCTTAATAGAAGTGAACTGGGACAGCACTCAAGGTTGACACAGATGAACTTCAAGCACCTGTGTGGCATGTGTGTTATAATATTGCATATGTAACAGCATCATACACTTGCAGGTTCGGTTCACACTATTGTGACCTGAAAGTCGCGCAATGTACAGTGCACCTTTGCTAGGCGACTTCCTGGCGATTTGCTGGCGACTTAATGCAACTTGAGTATGACATTGATGTGACTTGAAGCGTGACTTTCATGCCATGCGACATTGCCTGGGTAATCGTCCTGTGATGTCGAATCTAAATTACATCAATATACAGTAGATGAGGATCCAACTTGGGGGCGACTTCCATAAAAGTTTATAGGCACAAGTTGGATAGAAGTTGTCTTGAAGAAGTACAGGAACCTTTTCTAAAGTGGGAGTGACTTCAGTAGTGCTAATTAAAACAGCTGTCATTGACTAACATGGGATTTCACATATCATGCGACTTGCAGTCTCACAAGCCGGATCCCAAGTCGCAGCAATGTGACCTGAGCCTAAATCAAACAAGTCTGCATCTTCCAAGTACAAGTAGATACATGAACAATTAATGTGTATTTGCAGAAAAAATATAAAGACTTTCCCTATTTAACCTAGGTATGTAGTCATTCAAAATATATTTTGGGTAGTACATCAATCTGCCTTTGTACTAGTGTCCTGTAATGCACAGACTGGGAGAAGAAGGGGGCAGCATTGTAAGCCAATCAGACATCACTGCATTGTACAGTGCAGCCCACTCATCAAGGGAAATAAAAACAAACAGGGCCTTTGTTTGTGCATGAATGGACGATTGAAGTGAACAGGACTTATTCTTATTTACTAAGCAAAGTGAACATTCACCTTGCTGGGTGAACAGGCTCTACTCCTTTTGGGTAATTAACCCCAACAAGTCATTACAGCAGTGATCCATCACTTATCAGATGTTTGAGTACAAGGTTTTAATTAGACAAAGGGAGCTACAAAGCAAGCTGTCTGTAGCTAATTCATAGTGCTCTGGGAATACTTTATGTATGAACTGTTCTTGTAAAACAAATATTGCAGAAATAAAAAACTTAAATAAAGCAAAAGTTTAAAACGTATATCTTTAAAAGGGGGACTAAAGTAAGCTTACCCCAACAGCATTATAATTTTAGTTTCATAAAAATTAGACCTCCAGAATACCAATGGTGTGTTTACTAGGTAATATCTGTTTGTTTTGTCCTATTCCCTGTTTCTTGAGCTTTTTGGAATCCTATACTGGACTGGGAGAACCTTTTGATAGCGACCACTGTTCATCAAATATACACTCTAAACAGGATACTTCTAATTGGTATATTAATTTTTTACATATGGGACATATAGGACATGTTTTCTGTGTTAGAGGTGATGCTCATGGGCGTACAATTTGCTGCGTACTGATCTGTAATTTATATGGATCTGAATGTGACAGTATTGCATGTAACGTATATACAGCCTTGCGTATATACCGTTTATTACACTGTATACATGTAAACATTATTGCTAAAAAATACACGCGTGCATTGTACATAGACCCTACTGGGCGCTGCTGCTCATGGTAAAAAAAAAAAATTATTTTCTGATAAATGTATGTGGGTAACATTTTTATTTATAGCATTTTTCATTTTTTGCAGGCTGACCAAGCTGTCCAAAAAAATGAAAGTTACAGATGTTGGGGAAACTATAGCACTTGCAAAGTATGCTTGAGTATTGACAGCAACTGTTTAAAACTGTTGTCTTAAAGCGGAGTTCCAGCTGAAAAAAAAAAAAAGTCAGCAGCTACAAAACTGTAGCTGCTGACTTTTAAAATACAGCCACTTACCTGTTCCTCGGTCCAGCAGTGTCCTCACCACCGTTGGTTTCACCAGCTGTCTTCTCTCCCTGGTGCTGGCATCTTTAGTGTGGGCACCCGGCTGTGACAGCTTGTGACTTCACAGCCGGGTGCCCACTGTGCATGTAGGAGAAGCGCTGCGCTTTGTGAATGGCCCGTAGTCTTCTGGGACCTGTCACGTGTCCCAGAAGACTACGGGGAAGGAGGGAGGGAGGACAACTTCCGCTTCCGATCGCCTAGGCGATCGCAGCGGAAGTGTGAGCAGGTACCTGTCAAATTCGGGTACCCGCCCCCCCCGCTCTCCCAAGGTACCAATCCTTAATGGGGAGCGGGGTACAAAGCATTAAATTGGAACTTCTCCTTTTGGGTGGAACTCCGCTTTAAATCCTGCTACTGTCACTTTTTCTATAAAGCTTAAGCAGGTCATACATGGATTGAAATTCAGCCAGGACCCGCTGAATTTCGATCCATGTATGGGCAGGGTGGTTGTACAGAAGTCGATTTCCTACTGCATTTTAAAATATGTATCATTAACTCGTTTTGCAGAATTGTTTACACATTGACCCAGACAAGAGGCCACCCTGTGTCACCTTGCTGCAGCATGACCTGTTTAAGAAGGATGGCTTCACTGAGAGGTATGTATATATCAGAATCTATGTAAAAAATGCTCTAAGGCTCCATTCACATCTGAGCATAGCGTTTTTCTGCAGTATTTTGTGTGTTTTGACGTGCATCTTTATGCGCATTTGCAAACGTTTGTATGCTGTTTGCTCAGGAGTTTGCAGGCTTTTTGAGCTCTGGTGTTTTTGTTTTTGCTGTCTCTTGACACAACAGGAAGTGAGAGAAGATCTGTTCAAAAGAGGTAAATTTATATCTCGCTCTCTCTTCCTGTTCCAGTGACAACACAAAACTAGATTTTTCCTTACGTTTAATCCTGGTGACATTGGTCATTGGAAAGTTAAAGAGGGTGAATCTCTTCAGCAGTGGCACAGACAGCAATATAAGCTGAACAGAAGTTCTAATCCCACACCAGTCTGAAAAAAACTTTTTTGGCTTTAGAAACTTTAATGGAAATCTCATATAACGATAAAACTCTCCATTAAGTCACAACACATTCCATGATGTTACTTTTTAATGTCAGCTGCATAAAAATTACCAGTGAAGGACACAAATCACTTTCTAATAGCTCAAAGCAGATTTCCATTCTTTCCAAAGTATTGGTTGTGTTGATGGGTCGGAATATTTGTGGATCAAGCTGATGCAATGCTTACTTTTTGCTCCAAACATGCAAAAGCGTCACAGGAAGGCTGTATTTCCCACTACAGCACCAAGACTTTGTGCAATTCTATATTTCTTTCCAAACAAAGCACCTAGAAGGAAAAGCCAGGCAGAAGTAAATAAATGTATATATATATATATATATATATATATATATATACAGTATATATACTATATTGCCAAAAGTATTTGGACACCCTTCCAAATCATTGGATTCAGGTGTTCCAATCACCTCCATGGCCACAGGTGTAAAAAATCAAGCGCCTAGGCATGCAGACTGCTTCTACACACATTTGTGAAAGAATGGGTCGCTCTCAGAAGCTCAGTAAATTCAAGCATGGTACCATGATAGGTTTCCACCTGTGTAATAAGTCCATCCCTGAAACTTCCTTGCTACGAAATATTCCACTGTCAACTGTTAATGGTATTATAACAAAGTGGAAACAACTAGGAACAACAGCAACTCACATAAAATGACAGAGCGGGGTCAGCGCATGCTGAAGCGCACAGTGTGCAGGAGTCACCAACTGTCTGCAGAGTCAATAGCTAAGGACCTCCAAACTTCATGTGGCCTTCAGATTAGCACAACAGTGCGTAGAGAGCTTCATGGAATGGGTTTCCATGGCCGAGCAGCTGCATCCAAGCCTTACATCACAAAGGGTAATGCAAAGCGTCAGAGGCAGTGGTGTAAAGCACACCACCACTGGACTCTAGAGCAGTGGAGACGTGTTCTCTGGAGTGACAAATCACTCTTATCTGTCTGGCAATCTTATGGATGTGTCTGGGTTTGGTGCTTGCCAGGAGAACTGTACTTGCTTGACTGCATTAGCATACCAGGACCTTTTGGAAAATTTCATGCTCCCAACTTTGTGGGAACAGTTTGGGGATGGCCCCTTCCTGTTCCAACATGACTGCGCACTAGTGAACAAAGCAAGGTCCATAAAGACATGGATGAGCGAGTTCGGGGTGGAGGAACTTGATTGGCCTGTGCAGAATCCTGACCTCAACCCGACAGAACACCTTTGGGATGAATTAGAGTGGAGACTGTGAGCCAGGCCTCTTTGTCCAACATCAGTGCCTGACCTCACAAACGCTTCTGGAAGAATGGTCAAACATTCCCATAGACACACTCCTAAGCCTTGTGGACAGCCTTCCCAGAAGGGTTGAAGCTGTTATAGCTGCAAAGAGTGGGCCAACTCAATATTGAACCCTACGGACTAAGACTGGGATGCCATTAAAGTTCATGTGCGTGTAAAGGCAGGCATCCCAATACTTTTGGCAATATAGTGTATATACACTCACCGGCCACTTTATTTGGTACGCCTTTCAATTGCTTAGTAACACAAATTGCTAATCAGCCAATAACATGGCAGCAACTCGAGGTGAAGACAACTTGCTGAAGTTCAAACCAAGCATCAGAGTGGAAAATAAAGAGTATTTAAGGGACTTTGAACGTGACATGGTTGTTGGTGCCAGACGGGCTGCTCTGAGTATTTCAAAAACTGCTAATCTGCTGGGATTTTCACACACAGCCACCTCTAGGGTTTACAAAGAATGGTCCAATAAATAGAAAATATCCAGTGAGTGACAGTTGCCCTGGATGAAAATGCCTTGTTGATGTCAGAAATCAGAGGAGAATGGCCAGACTGGTTCGAGATGATAGAAAGGCAACAGTAACTCATGTTAATATGGAACAAATTCTCTGAGGATTGTTTTCAACACCTTGGTGAATCTATGCTATGAACAATTAAGGCAGTTCTGAAGGCAAAAGGGGGTCCAACCCCCTCTGATTCCTGGCTCCAGAAGGTTTTCTCAATCATGCAACTGCTCCAGCGCTGCCGCCTCTCTAAGGTGCTTAGGACCATAGTCACATGTTCAACTCCTACATGTGCAATACAGGGTTAATAGCCTTTGTAGAGCAGGGAGGCAGGCATTACAAGAGTAGATTTTGTCTAATTCCAAGAGTTCAACTTTAACATATGTATGCTGCCTATGGAAAATAAATAACAATCTATGCAAAAGCATAATGGGATACAAACAGTGCATGAAGAACATTGTTCTACTGACAGAGGAAGTCATAGGAATTCTACATTAAAGTGAACCTGTAATCCATTTTAAACTATTAAAGGCCTGCCTAAAATCAAGTGTCACAAGAAGCCTTATATTGCTTGTATTTACTGAAATTGTTTCATATATGCCTTGTTTTGATTCAGTTGCCATTTGTCATTGGGGCTTGACTTTCCTTGAGTATGTGGCTAAATCTTTCTTCTGTCCAATGAGACTGCCCCAATAGCTAGCAAGGGCTTTCTCACTGGACATAGTAATAGTTGTTGTCAGTACCCATTTGTGAATATCCCCAGGTATAGGAACATATATGGATGCCACCTTGAGACCTTTATTGTTCTGCTACAGCATTACTGTTAGATAAAATAAAATAAAAATATATAGTGACTAAGCATAATTATGGCTTCTCTGTTTCATTGTAAAGGTTCTCTCAGGAAATCAGTGCAAAAGTCCAGAAGCTTTCCAAAGACATTCAGCCACAAACTAAGAAAACCAAAAATGTTAAGAAAGAAAAAGATGATTACCCAGGTGAAAAGAAAGCCCTGGCACTACAGGTAAAATATAGTTTTTTGACAACACGTCACCAAAGTGCAAGCTTGGAGTCATTCAGCACCTGGTGAATATGCACTTAGTAAATTTGATTGTCTGTGTGTCTGGTGGACATTTTCCCTCACTTCCATCCTGGATAAAACTGTTGTTATCAAGACAGGGAATAAGGGAAAATCTCTGCAATGGAGTCTGGGATGGTTTTAATCCTTCCCCACACTGTCCAAAATGTAAAAATAAAATTTTTGAAGATTCTGGAAATGGCTGCATTCTTGCAGATATCGCATAGTGTATGACATGCACCCTAAGTCATTGAATTGAAGATTAGATTATATTTATTTGTTGGAAAGTAACCTCCAGTATAAAGAGATAAGTGTTGACTTGGCTAGAATGTATTAAGTAGGTTGAGACAATGCTGTGAACTGATAAATGTTATAGGCGGTTGCCACAGTTTCTGAACAGGTCATGTAGGAGCAGTAATTATATGTGGAGACCAGTTAAAAAAATGTAAACTTAAAGAGAATTTGTCATGAAAGAAACACGGAGGCTGCAAAGGTTGGTCTCTTATGTTATGTTACTGAACAATGGTATACCAGCATCATGCATTTTTCTACAGAACAGTCCTTAGAACATGAAACACATCATTTATCCAATACTTTTATTTTTATATGCAGGATTTCAATATTGATCACAAAGTGAAGGATACTAAACCTTTAAAGGTGAAGATCATTAAAATGGACTCCGAAAAGACTGAGAAGACTGATGGGGCGTCTAATACCAGTGGTTTATTTACTGGTACTACCAATCAGGGAAGGGCAGTACCTTATGTCACACTAAAAGAGTCAACAACAGCCTAGATAACCATAAAAGCCCAGCTGGGATGATTCCTCCAATAAACTACAATCTCACTGCCATTTCTCCGCATCAGCTGTCTTCCAATGCCACTGCATCATCTGGCTCATTATCTGCTCCAGCCATGTTAGTTTTAGGTATTTGAGCTCTGTTTTTTTTTTTTTTTTTTTTTTTTTATTAAACGTTAGTGGTTTATTCCTTTTTTCTTTTATCCAAGGGTGAATCAGAAATAGTCATATAGAAAGAATTTTATAGGTGCCAAAACAACATGGAACAAATTAAAGCAGGCCATAGATGATGCAACAACCAAAAAAAAATTTTAATTGTTAATTTTTCGCATTAGTGTGCCAGCTGCGACACACGATTTTCTTGCAGCAATCAAAAGTGCCTGATCCTACATGATGGATTTTTAAAAAAAAAAAAAACAAAACAATTGATGGCACAATCGTATGAGCTATTTTCACTTTTGGCTCAACAGATTTTTCGGACTTTGACTCGTCTATGGTCTGCCTAAAGCATGTTTTTTTCAAAATAAAATATACAAATCATATTTTAAATATGAATAAATGCTTGCAACAGATACTCACAATTAAAATATACCTCTGAATCAGCACCCCTTGCTATATAGACATCTTTTACCATTTATCTACACATGGAGTAAATGGCGCAGTAGTACTACTGTAGTAGTTGTGTTATAAAATACCACTCTAATATATCAATTACTGTTTAAGACTTCTCCAATCATAGGGTGAAAGTGTTGCAGTTAGTGTTCATTTTGACATCAAATTTAGTTTTAGTCATAGTCTTTTGACTAAATTGCTATTTAAGTTTTAGTCGCATTTTAGTCATCTGAATTGTTTTAATTTTAGTTGTATTGTAGTCGACTAAAATCTCCAGAACATTTTAGTCGACTAATATCTAATGGGTTCAGTTAAATTGTAATGCATTATTTAAGCATTTCTCTAGAATTATATACTGCTGGAGTGAAAATGTAGTAACATGGTATTTATGGTATTAAGGTTTAAACATGCAGTATAGGCACGAATTTAGCCATTGTGATTTATAAGGGACAATTCAAAAAGCAGTAGCTTACCGCATCCAAGTATAAAGTAAGATACCGCACAGCGGTTTTTTTTTTTTTTTTTTTTTTAAATTTGAGATTCACTAAAAAAAACACTACTAAAATACTGCATGAGTTATTTTATTAAGTCATGCTGTTTTTTCGTAGTAAAAATGTGCGGTAATGTAACAAGGCATCAGCTGTCATCAGAATTGCAGACAATTAAAAGTTTGGGATTTTGAGGGAAACCCCCACACCAATTCATTATATACGCCTGGAGTGAAAATCTAATAACATGCTATTATTTACGGTATTAAAGTTTAAACATGCACTATAGACACAGATTTTGCCATTGTGATATATAGGGGACAATTCACAAAGCGGTATCTTACTGCATTCAAGTATACAGTAAGATACCAGATCCTGCCCCGCCCCCCCCCCCCCATGTGAATGAGTATGGGGTACATGGTACCCCTACTCATTCACCAAAAGCAAAAATGTAGTGTAAAAAAACACAGGAGGCAGTTTTTGACAAGTCTTTTAATAAAAAAAACAAAAATTTAAAAAAAAGTCCCCCTGTGTAGATCCATAGTCAATCACGATGCCTGCCACCACCGCCAACCCCCCAAAAAACAAGCTCTGGTCCCAACAAGGGCTCCCACCGCCTGACAGCTCCACTGCCTGAAAGTTCTTAAATAACTAAGGGGCAGGGCCATCTAGTGATGTAACTGGGTGACCTTGCAACATCAACCAGAGCATGCTGGGTCGATGACTTCACAAGGGGGCAGGGTCACCTTACCCCATACTCATTCACATGGGGGGGGCGACATCTGGGGGCCCACTTGTTAAAGAGGGCTTTCAGACTCCGATAAGCCCCCTGCCCACAGACACCCACAACCACTGGCTAGGGTTGTGGGGAAGAGGTCCTTGTCCCTATCACAGGGGACAAAGTGTTTTGGAGGGGGAGGGGGCAGAGCCCCTTCATGAGTGTTGCTTGTAGCCTTGAATCTGCTTTTATGCCCATATCTATCAGACCTAAAGCTCGCTGTGAGTTTTCTGTATAAGATAGATTTTGTGAACTGCAGTGCTATCTAGCTATTTTCTGCTTGCTAATTAATTTGGAGGTTAGGAACTGTTTGAAACCACGTAACCTATTGCATGTTCCTGCAAAATGTCACCTACAACTTTAGTATTTTATCTGTTATAGTTTACTATATTACCATGCCATGTGTTTAGGACTGCTCCTTTTCTTTTTATTTCAGGGGAGAAGAAAAGAGTAAAATGTATGTAAGCAGTTTCAAACTAAATGGAGGAAGACCTTCCCAAGGAACTACTTATAATCCAAACATTTCAAGTCTGGTAAAGTCATGCTTTTTTTTTTCATAAACAAACATTTTGGGGTCTAGATAATGCAGTAACCCATTGCAACTAATCATCTACTGTCATTCTTTGTTCTTATTCATGAAAGGAAAAATCTGATTGGTATGGATTGGTATGTACTTTACATGCTATTAATCTTTTTTGCATTGTCTGATTCAGTAAATAAATTCACATGCCTCTTTTATGTGGGTTTTTCCACCCAGCATTTAAGTACAGTTGGATAGTCCAGAAGACCTTAATGGCTCTTATAGCTTGATGAATAAAGTAAAGCATGTTTCCCTAGGACTGGATTTGTAATTTTTTTTTTAATTTTGTTCTGATAAGCCCCAAATACCCATGTTATTAGGTAGCCAAGACTATCTCAACTTCTAGTGCATAGACTCAAACATAAAAAATATTGCCATAGTTGCGTGTGGCCTAACAAGCAGTCAAGCCGACCCTGAACTTACCCTTGAACACTTACCTGGGCAATACAGGACTTTGTTCAATGACTCTCCCCCGTGTGTGTGGTGGGAGGAGACTGACCCCCGGTCCACTCACTTTCTGTGTACTTCACCCCCTCACTCCCAGGGGTTCCAGACAATGGGCACTTCTCCAGGCCGACAGAGAGGGAACACCAGCAGAACACATTCTGACACCATATTGAGATACAGGCCAATGAATAATTAGAACGTCTTTACTGAACGTAGTGCAACAATTACAGTCAAGTAAAGGCATTGCTCTTCACATCATGGCTGAACTAAAGGTTCCAACACAATCCATACAGTTGAACTTAGCCAACATGGGGGAGACAGCTGCAATTGGGCCCAGGTCCATAGAACTCATTACCTCTCTCTGGGACCCAGCAAAGTCCTTTCCTGTCACAGAAGTAATGCAGGCCTAGGAGGGCTCTTCTGGACTAGCTTCTTCTTCCCTGGTACCCCCCCAGGGAGGGGAGGGGGGGAGAAGGACACATTCTGCTGTCTTCCTTTTATCTTCCTGCTTTCAAGCCCAACTGAACTCCCAGTCCCAGAACCACCCACCTAATGGGACTCCCTCCCACTCCTCCCTCCAAAGGGAGGGATTCCGCCTAAAGGGGAACTTTGGTGCTGCACATACCTACACCTAAAACCTTCTTGGCTGTTCCTCGGCATTTTAGCAAAACTGTGCATTTCTCTCACTGTTACATTTTTACTGAACTCTGGGAGTACAGCTTTCACTATAATTCCAGCACTCTGATGCTGAGCCTTTGAGTGTTTACAGAAGCTACAGATTCATTCGTAACTGCTCTGCCTGTCCCTCCTTTCCTCTTGTCCAATCATGGAAGGCTTTGCATGTTGTGAGCCCATTCACAAAAATATAGTCTTTTGTGTGTAGCACCCTCCTAGTTAGCTAGGGGAGCTAGAGCCCTGATTGTTAGAGAAAAGGGCTGAGTAGCAGCCTGGGTGCAATAGTCAGGGAATCAAATTTGAGTCAGGACCTGAGAGGCTCTGCAGACCAGCCCTCTGGAATTTCTATCTGCTTTAGAACTTTAGAGAAAGGTCTAAAAGCAGTGGGTGGATCTGAGGAGTGGCTGGCCTGAACTCTTGAAGGATCCTGGCCAACAGGAGGCATGGAAAGGGGCTGGTACAACATTTAGGAGTTTCTGAGCCTGCTCAGCTGCGGGAGAGTTCGGGTGTAAGACAGTGAGTAAGATGTGAGGCTGAAGGAGGGAGCCTGTGAGGAGGCCCAGATGGAGAGAGGGGCTCACCTACAGGCAATGGAGCTGGAAAGGAGGAAAGTTCAGAGCTTCACTGGCCCCCAGAGCGAGGACTACCTGTACAGCAGGGAAGGAGCGGCCCAGCTAGAAGGCCTGGTAGCAGCCACCAACCAATCAGAGCTACAGGACAGGATCTGAGTGAGTACCCCTGCACCCCCCTGGACGAATAGGGGAAGGAGCACTCTGGTTGGAAACCACCTGCCTGGGACAGTCCTTTTCTCAAAGTGACAGGAACCGGATCCCCTGTTCAGGGATACCTCCAGATTACTAGGTGAATTTATTTATTTTATTTATTTATTTATCGAGTTTATATAGCGCCAAAGGGTTTGCTCAGCGCTGTACAATAGAGGGGGGACAATACATGAAACAGTACAGTAACATCAAACAGCACACAAGGGGTAAGGGGCCCTACTCTTTCGAGCTTACAATCTAGGAGGGATGGGGGGGTAGAGGTACAGGAGGAAATGGCTGTGGGGGATGGAGTGGTAGGAGGAGGGAAGGGCAGCGGCTGTTAGGTGAGGGTGGGGTAGGCTTCCCTGAAGAGGTGGGTTTTCAGGGAGCGCCTGAAGGTGAGGAGGGAAGGTGACAGTCTGATGGATTGGGGTAGTGAGTTCCAGAGGATGGGGGAGGACCTGGAGAAGTCTTGCAGTCGTGCGTGGGAGGAGGAGACCAGGGAGCAAGATAGAAGGAGGTCCTGTGAAGAGCGAAGGGTACGGGTAGGGTGGTACTTGGGAATCAGGTCGGTGAGGTAGTTAGGGGCAGTGTTGTGAATGGCTTTATAGGTCAGAGTGAGCAGTTTGAATTTAATGCGTTGGGCAATGGGGAGCCAGTGGAGGGAGAGGCAGAGGGGGGTGGCAGAGGTGGAGCGGCTGGTGAGGTGGATGAGTCTGGCAGCTGAGTTCAGGATGGTCTGAAGCGGGGAGAGTTTGCACTGGGGTAGGCCGATGAGGAATTAAGAGTTGTTCATCTAGGGTCTGGGGTGGTACATTAGGAGATGCTGGCTAACTCTCCAACAGAGACTGTGTTGCAGTGGAGGCTTGTAAATAGTTCCAGGATGTTGCTCTCAATTCATCAGTTCCCTTGGGCATCCTGTAAACCCCTAACCCTATCCCAGTTTAAATCTGCCAAAATAAAATAACAAAAACAAAGCTCAAGGACTGATCTCTGACTATTGATGCAAGTCTATGTGGAAATGTGTGTTGCCTGGCTGTGCAGGGCTAAAGGGAGCCTGGAAATCTTTGAAACTCCTAAGGGGGTAGTGCTACATGTGAATGGACAGCAAAGGGGAGGAATGGGTAGTCACCCAGCAGCCACATAGTAATAGCTGTACTCCCAGAACACAGAAAATTAGCAAATAAAAGAGAGAGAGATCCACAAGGTGGCATATACCTTGTTAAACTTAGCCCCCATATAAGCCAGCAGATTCCTAAAACTGATGCATTTCCTAGACTTCTTTTTTAAAAACAATACATTTTCTGGACTATATCATATTGCAAATGTGGTAAAGCATAGAGGCTGAGGAAATATCATGAAAGAGCTCCCTCTACCAGCTGATTTCCTGTATTTAATACATAACAAATATACACTGCTCAAAAAAATTAAAGGAACACTTTTTAATCAGAGTATAGCATCAAATCAGTTAAACTCCTGGGATATTGATCTGGTCAGTTAAATAGCAGAGGGGCTTGTTAATCAGTTTCAGCTGCTTTGGTGTTAGTTAAATTAACAACAGGTGCACTAGATGGGTAACAATGAGACAACCTCCAAAACAGGAATGATTTTACAGGTGGAGGCCACTGAAATTTTTTTCCCTACTCATCTTTTCTGCCTGTTTTGTACTAGTTTTGCATTTGGCTAGGGTCAGTGTCACTACTGGTAGCATGAGGTGATACCTGGACCCTACAGAGGTTGCATATTCAGTCCAGCTCCTCCAGGATGGTGCATCAATATGTGCCATTGCCAGAAGGTTTGCTGTGTCTCCCAGCACAGTCTCAAGAGTGTGAAGGAGTTTCCAGGATACAGGCAGTTACTCTAGGAGAGCTGGACAGGGACATCAGCAGGACTGATATCTGCTCCTTTGTGCAAGGAGGAACAGGATGAGCGCTGCCAGAGCCCTACAACATTACCTCCAGCAGGCCACTGGTGTGAATGTCTCTGACCAAACAATCAGAAACAGACTTCATGAGGGTGGCCCAAGGGCCTGGCATCGTCTAGTGGGCTCTGTGCTCACTGCCCGGCACCACAGAGCTTGATTGGCATTTGCCATTGAACACCAGAATTAGCCAATTGGCAGTCTGCCAATGGCGCCCTGTGCTTTTCACAGATGAGAGCAGGTACACCCTGAGCACATGTGACAGACGTGAAAGGGTCTGGGGAAGCCGTGGAGAATGTCATGCTGCCTGTAACATTGTTTAGCATGATCATTTTGGTGGTGGGTCAGTGATGGTCTGGGGAGGCATATCAATGGAGGGACACACAGACTTCTACAGGCTAGACAATGGCACCCTGACTGCCATTAGGTATCGGGATGAAATCCTTGGACCCATTGTCAGACCCTACGCTAATGCAATGGGTCCTGGGTTCCTCCTCGTGCATGACAATGCCCAGCCTCATGTGGTGAGAATATGCAGGCAGTTCTTGGAAGATGAAGGAATTGATACCGTTGAATGGCTCCCATGCTAAACCTAACCTAAATCCAATAGAACACCTCTGGGATATCATGTTTCGGTCCATCCGACGTCATCAGGTTGCACCTCAGTCTGTCCAGGAGCTCAGTGATGCCCTGGTCCAGATTTGGGAGGAAATACTCCAGGACACCATTCTTCATCTCATTAGGAGCATGCCCCAATGTTGTCAGGCATGCATACAAGCACATGGGGGCCATACAAACTACTGAGTACCATTTTGAGTTGCTGCAATAGAATTTCAGCAAAATGGACTAGCCTTCTGCATCATATTTTCACTTTGATTTTCGGGGTGTCTTTGAATTCAGTCCTCTGTAGGTTGATCATTTTCATTCCCATCAAACGATGGGGCATCCTTACATTCCTAACACATTATCCAGTCTATATAAGTATAGATATCCAGCATGATATTTTTCCCCATTCAGATTTGATGTGTTTTCAAGGTGTTCCTTTAATTTTTTTGAGCAGTGTATGTAACAATATTAAACGCTGCCTCAAAAATTACTCTAAAGGCATTATAAACCTTTTGATCTGCATAAGATATGCTTTGATCATATACTGTAGTTTCATGATGTAGTATGTTGGCCTCTGCCTATAGTAGAGTAAATCTTCACATTCCTGATTCAGAGGTTTCTGTTCATGTTTAAACATGAGGCATGCTGTGTGGTACTGCACAGGTTAACGCATGACCTCTGTCTGTAGTGTAGTAACTTACTTTCTGTTAAAGCAGAGCTCCAGTCAAAGCTGAAAAAAATAAGTCAGCAGCTGCAAAAACTGTAGCTGCTGACCTATAAAAAAAACAACCACTCACCTGTCCCACCTTCCAGGGGTGTGCTCACCGCAACTGGGTTCATCTGCCATCCTCTCTTCTGGCATCTTAAGTGTGGGCACCTGGTTGTCACAGCTTGCGACTTCCCCTGGAAGACTGCGGGGAGAGAGGGAGGACAACTTCCACTTCCAATCTCCTATGCATTCACAGCGGAAGTGGGAGTGGGTACCTGTCAAAATTGGGTAAACCCCCCCCCCGCCTGCTCCCCAAAGGTGCCAATTCCTCATGGGCAGCAGGGGACGAGTACTTAAAGCTGAACTTCCCCCTTTGAGTGGAGCTCCGCTTTAAGAAACAACATATCCTTTCTATCTCTCTGTCTAGCGCTCTGCAGGTGAGTATTACATAGTAATTAGATCTGATACAGACACAAACTAGCAGAACATTTAACAGAGATCTCTCAATGCTGGAAGAGGCATTAGCACTTCCACATTTGTTATCCAACACATAGGAAATGGCTAGGCATGCAATGAATGCTGTGTGATGTGGAACAAGAAGTTATGTTGTCCCTCTGGTGAATAGGGACAGGCTACCTGCAGCAATAGGTGGAAATAGAAGAATCAATAATCCATTACACTACAAATTGCAGCCATAACATGTGAGCCCATCATTACAAGGTAAGGCAAACAAACAACACATGGAATATACTGTATGTACACTAATACCTAATTAAAACAACAAAAACATTTGAAAGTTCACAATGCCTTTATATCAATAGGTTATCATTAGAGATGAGCGAATCAAACTTGGCGAAGTGGAATTCGTTTCGAATATTAGGAAAAATTCGATTCGCACCGAATCCGAATTTTAGCAAACTTCGGGTGCACGAATCGAATTTTCCCCGATCAGCCGGCAAAAAGTGTCACTGCAGAGAGCTCCGCTATTTCTGACAGTTCTCTGACAGTTCTGACAGTTCATTTACAGCGGTTGAAACATTGTATCTATTTGTTTCCATTTAGGATACAGATGTTTTTATTCGGAAATAAATAGATACAATGTTTCAACCGCTGTAAATGTGAAGGAACTGTCAGAGAACTGTCAGAAATAGCGGAGCTCTCTGCAGATACACTTTTTGCTGTACTGGAATTCTTCTTCTTTTCATTCTTCTTCTTCTTTTCATTCTTCTTCTTCTTCTTCTTCTTTTTTCATTCTTCTTCTTTTTTTTCATTCTTCTTCTTCTTCTTTTCATTCTTCTTCTTCTTCTTTTCATTCTTCTTCTTCTTTTCATTCTTCTTTTCATTCTTCTTCTTCTTCTTTTCATTCTTCTTCTTTTCATTCTTCTTTTCATTCTTCTTCTTCTTCTTTTCATTCTTCTTCTTCTTCTTTTCATTCTTCTCATTCTTCTTTTCATTCTTCTCATTCTTCTTTTCATTCTTCTTTTCATTCTTCTTCTCATTCTTCTTTTCATTCTTCTTCTTCTTCTTTTCATTCTTCTTCTTCTTCTTTTCATTCTTCTTTTCATTCTTCTTCTTCTTTTTCATTCTTCTTCTTCTTCTTTTCATTCTTCTTCTTCTTCTTTTCATTCTTCTCATTCTTCTTCTTCTCATTCTTTTTTCATTCTTCTTCTTCTTCTTCTTTTCATTCTTCTTTTCATTCTTCTTCGTCTTCTTTTCATTCTTCTTCTTCTTTTCATTCTTCTTTTTCATTCTTCTCATTCTTCTTTTCATTCTTCTTCTCATTCTTCATTTCATTCTTCTTCTTCTTCTTTTCATTCTTCTTCTTCTTCTTCTTTTCATTCTTCTTTTTCTTCTTCTTCTTTTCATTCTTCTTCTTTTCATTCTTCTTCTTTTCATTCTTCTTTTCATTCTTCTTCTTCTTCTTTTCATTCTTCTTTTTCTTCTTTTCATTCTTCTTCTTTTCATCTTCTTTTCATTCTTCTTCTTCTTTTCATCTCTTCTTTTCATTCTTCTTCTTCTTTTCATTTTCATTCTTCTTTTCATTCTTCTTCTTCTTCTTCTTCTTCTTTTCATTCTTCTTCTTTGCTTTTCTTCTTCTTTTCATTCTTCTTCTTTTCATTCTTCTTCTTCTTCTTTTCATTCTTCTTCTTTTCATTCTTCTTTTCTTCTTTTCATTCTTTTCATTCTTCTTTTCATTCTTTCTTCTTCTTCTTTTCATTCTTCTTCTTCTTTTCATTCTTCTTTCATTCTTCTTATTCTTCTTTTCATTCTTCTTCTTCTTCTTTTCATTCTTCTTTTCATTCTTCTTCTTCTTCTTCTTCATTCTTCTTCTTATTCATTCTTCTTTTCATTGTTCTTCTTCTTCTTTTCATTCTTCTTCTTCTTTTCATTCTTCTTTTCATTCTTCTTCTTCTTTTTATTTCTTCTTCTTCTTCTTCTTTTCATTCTTCTTCTTTTCATTCTTCTTCTTCTTCTTCTTCTTCTTCGTCGTGCCCCGTGACTACCCAAATGAGTGAAGTGTGCGGTGATTCTAAGATCGACGGCACTCATCTGCATGTCATACTGACTGACAGTATTATTTCTCTTCCCCAGCAGACTCCAAGGGCATTTAAATTAAAGGTACAGTGTTCTGCACTAATATAAAGGCTCTCTGAAGCCTAGAAACCCTTTTAATAAGTTAAATTCGCAGCGAATAAATTCGCATCGAATCGAATTTCTCCCGCAAATTCGGCGAATCAGCCGAATCGAATTTTTAAATAATTCGCTCATCTCTAGTTATCATGTTCAAGTACGACAAGCCAGAACAAAGTAAAGTAAATGTACTTTTTAGAAGTCTACATTACACTTAGTAACTCACAGATGTTTTTGACAACAGGTTGCCAATGAAAAGAGCCTTCTTCAACTAAACAAGAAAAAATGGGACTTTTCAAGAGCAGATGTGAGGCTACCAGAGCTGAGCTATGGTCATTTACCAGAACTTAAAGGCACAGAGGGATATAATTTCTATAGTGGTATGTCTTTACTTTTTTTTTTACTTCCTGCTTTTCTGAAACTATTTCCCAATATTATTAAAGTATTTATACCCCTTCATAGCAGCTACTGTCTACTTAGAACCCCCTGGGTTGGGTCACTTTATTTAAATAATTGTTTGTTACTTTTATTTCAAACCATCTTTTATGTTTTAAAAGCTGAACTCCAGGCCCAAATATCTTTCATTTAAATATATTCCTCAACAGCCACAAAGAATATACAGTAATTCTACTGTGTGTGCACTAAAAGTCTTTGCAAACACAGTTATTATCTTGTAAAAGCAGCTGTAAGTTCATCGCTGGACTGCACATATCCCATGCAGAGAGAAGAGCTGTGGGAGGGATGCAGCAGGCCCCACCCACTACAGGAGGGATGGATACAAGATCAATCACCTTGTACAAGGAGAGAGAGCAGCAGTGACTAGTCTTTATTACAGCCAACCTTTCATTCTGGATTACTGCACAGATCTGGAAGAAATACAAAAACCAGGGATAGGGTCAGGGATAAAGTTGTGAAGAAGGTTAAAGCATGGCTATGTTATAAAAAAAATCCCAAGCTTTGAAGATCTCATGGAGCACTGTTCAATCCATCATCCGAAAGTGGAAAGAGTGTAGCACAATTGCAAACCTACCAAGACAAGGCTGCCCACCTAAACTGACAGGCCAGGCAAGGGCAGCATTAATCAGAGAAGCAGCCAAGAGGTCCATGGTAACTCTAGAGGAGCTGCAGAGATCCACAGCTCAGGTGGGAGAATCTGTCTAGTCTGTGCACTCCACAAATCTGGCCTGCATGGAAGAGTGGCAAGCCAAAAGCCATTGTTGAAAGAAAGCCATAAGAAGTCCTGTTTGCAGTTTGTGAGAAGCCATGTGGGGGACACACAACAAACATGTGGGAGAAGGTGCTCTGGTCAGATGAGACCAAAATTTTACTTTTTGGCCCAAAAGCAAAAAATTATGTGTGGCAGAAAACTAACACTGCACATCACCCTGAACACAACATTGTCATCAAGAAACATGTTGTAGGGATGCTTTCCTTCAGCAGGGACAGGGAAGCTGGTCAGAGTTGATGAGAAGGTGAATGGAGCCAAATACAGGGAAATCTTAGAAGAAAACCTGTTAGAGTCTGCAAAAGACTTGAGACTGGGGAAGAGGGTCACCTTCTAGCAGAACAACGACCCTAAGCATACAGCCAGAGCTACAATGGAATGGTTTAGATCTAAGCATATTCATGTGTTAGAATGGCCCAGTCAAAGTCCAGACCTAAATCCAATTGAGAATCTGTGGCAAGACTTGCAAATTGCTGTTCAGATGCTCTCCATCCAATCTGACAGAGCTTGAGCTATTTTGCAAAGAAGAATGGGCAAAAATGACACTCTCTAGATGTGCATAGATGGTAAAGCTGGTAGAGACATCCCCAAAAAGACTTGCAGCTGTAATTGCAGTGAAAGGTGGTTCTACAAAATATTGACTTGGGGGGGTTGAATACAAATGCACACCACACTTTTCAGATATTTATTTGTAAAAAATGTTGAAAACCATTTATCATTTTCCTTCCACTTCACAATTATGTGCCACTTTGTGTTGGTCTATCACATAAAATCCCAATAAAATACATTTACGTTTTTGGTTGTAACATGACAAAATGTGGAAAATTTCAAGGGGGCAATACTTTTTCAAGGCACTGTATATACTAGTTCTCTAGTATTTGGTAATTAGAAATTTAAAGTGTCTTTAAATCCAATTCCATATTTATGATACAGTATAGTGCAGTTTACCAATCTGAAGATGTGGTTTTCTACGTTAGTTTTGTCAGGCTTTTTTCCCTTTTTTTTTACTTGGTGATCCCACGAATAATATACTTTTTGCCCTTCATGACTACATTCATTTAGGCTTTGTTTACATCTTTGTTGGCATGTTTGCACATGCACGTCACAGGTAGAGCAGCCCATTCATTTCAATGGGCTACTCTACCCACAAGAAACGCGGGGAAAGAAGACCCCAACCCTTGGGACCATGCTGTTTAGCATGCATGGAGCCTGGTTCCAAACGAGACACAGCCTGTACAAGCTGCAGAGGACTCAATGTGAGTCAGGAGACCTGGCTTCCACCACAGCCGTGGCCCCCAGATGTCATCTACCCACTCTTCTCTGTCTCTGGAACCTCATCTGGATGACTTCTCTATGTATCCATGCCTGCTTACTACTTGCCTCTTGTGAGTTACATACCATTGTGTGCAATAAATGATTGTCAAACTTAGTCTAGCATCCCTCTCTCTCCTTTTATCTTCCACTACAGAGTCCAGCTTAACTCTATAGGGTGCTGCCTCATGAATGTGCTATCCAAATAGCTGAATACCTCCCTACTACCTGTGGGACTGTAATATTTAACCCCATCTGTCCAGCGCCAATATATTACCTGTGAAATCATGCCAAGGGTGACGATGCTTAGGGGTGCCACGTTTCTATACAGGTTGAGAATGCATACGACTTTGCTCGAGTTTCCCACCTGCAGAGAAGTTATCCCAGCCTAATTTTACCTTTGTTCATCACTATTATATTGGGGTGGGGGAGAATTAGTCATTTGCAGAATAAAGGTAACATTCTTTTTAAGTTCCAGGTTAGTTCACAGGAAGTTACAAGGATACTGCATTTTTGGCAAGATCAACATATATATTCTGTACTTGCTGAAAACTAATTGACATGGAGATGGTAAATGAGCGTAATTTTAAATATTTTGTTTTTGTACTTACCTTCCGCCGGGTGAGTAACAAATAATTTTGTAGTTCGCAGTTCAAAGTTGGGAAAGAAAGAGAACAAGACAATCACTGACTCCCGCATCCCTTCTCTTGCTACAGTTGATACTCATAATTCAAACACAGCCTTACCACAGGTGAGACTACTGATGTATATATTCTGCTATGAATAAAAGCACTAATAATCTGTTATTGTACAATATTGAAGATACTTTGTTCACATATCTGCAAGATATATAAAATGAGTACTTTTACTCACATTAAAATGTCCAGGAAAAATAGTGCAATGGGCCTTCTTACCTTCACTCCCCCCCCAACACTTCATGGTTTCTCTAAGGCACTGGTGACATAGTCAGTGCCTCAAAGACACACCTTGGGAAGGCTATGTCACTAGTGTCTTACAACGAAGATCTTTTTCTCAACTACGAGCTCCTGGGAAGGGGAGCTTTTTATCTTCAGCAGACCGATATAATGCCCTATGGCACATGTGTGTGTAGGGGTGCATGACAATATACTCATCTGTTGCAAAACAAAAGCTCCACCCACCCTCCAAGATATTGCAATACTTCACAGTACTCAGGTTTATTAACCACTTGCCTACCGGGCACTTATACCCCCTTCTTTACCAGGCCAATTTTCAGCTTTCAGCGCTGTTGCACTTTGAATGACATTTGCGCAGTCATGCAAGATTGTACCCATATGAAATTTTTATCATTTTTTTCTCACAAATAGAGCTTTCTTTTGGTAGTATTTAATCGCAGCTGGGAGCTTTACTTTTACTATAAACAAAAAAAATTGCTAAAAATTTGAAAAAAAAAAGTTTCTTTGTTTCTATTATAACATTTTTCAAACAGGTAATTTTTCTCCTTCACTGATGTGCGTTGATGAGGCAGCACTGATTGGCACTGATAGGCAGCACTGAAGGGCACTGATAGACGGCACTGATAGGCAGCACTAATGAGGTGGCACGGATAGGCGGCACGGATAGGCAGCACTAATGAGGTGTCACGGATAGGCGGCACTGGTAGGCGCCACTGATGATGGGTACTGATAGACAGCACTGACTGGCATCACTGCTGGGCACTGACTGGCGGCACTGCTAGGCATTGACTGGCGCAACTGCTGGGCACTGACTGGCACAGCTGCTGGACACTGACTGTTGGCACTGACTGGAAGCACTGCTGGGCTGCACACTGATGGGCACTGGTGGATGGCACAGGTGGGTGGCACTGGTGGGCACAGGTGGGTGGCACTGCTGGGCATAGGTAGGTGGCACTTCTGGGCACAGGTGTGTGGCACTGCTGGGTGGCACTGGTGGGCACTGCTGGGCACAGGTGGGTGCACTGCTGGGCACAGGTGGGCGGCACTGGTGGGTGGCACTACTGGGCACCGATCATCAGGGCACTGATCATCAGTGCTCTGATGATCGGTGCCGATCCCTGCTCTGACAACTGCCGGTTCTCGCCAGTATTTTCCTCGCGCTCTGACAGCGCAAGGAAAGTGCAGCCGAGAACCGGCAATTGCATTTCCCGGTGATCAGCGTGTCATTGGACACGGCTGTTCACGTGGTAAAAGGCCGCTGTGATTGGCCTTTTACCACATCACGTGATCAGCTGTGTCCGTAGGACACAGCGATCACGGATATCGCCGGGTGCGTGCCCCCAGAGGAGCGCAGGAGAGCGCGTTCTGGGAGGACATCATATGATGCCCTCCCAGAACTGGCCGGCCGCAGTGTAGCCGTCATTCGGCTATCTGCGGTTGGCAAGTAGTTAAAGGGGAAAATGAAAGTTCCCTTACCGGCCACTATTTTCTGAGACTGGGGAATGGGAGGGTCAAGGCTTTGCCTAAAAGCTAAAAGCAATCTCAGAAAGCTACTTTCCTGGACAAGAGAGGTAAGAGCAAGCATCTCATAATCTATGCTTTTAAGTAGTACTTGCAAATATTCAGAATAGATTTCAGATTAACTTTAGAAAAATAATTCATTTGTGACGTAATAATAGGTACAATGAAAATAACTTTTTCTTTTCTACTTCAGTTTTCAGGCAATGTATTACCTGACACACTGGATATCACAGAAGCAAATTTTCCACCAGTAGAACATTAAAGGACCATTTAAAATATTATCACTTGACTAAAACAGTTTGGATCCTTCCAATTTACATTAACTGCTGTAATGAGAAAATCAGTGTTCCTAATTAATGATCATTATGAAACATCTGGGACTTTATCTTGGATACCAAATGCTAATCCATTCAGCATAACATTACCATTGATTTCAAAAGACATTATTTTACTGAATGCTGCATGAAGGATGACATGGTTTTGAATGCCACTGATTAAAGACAAGTCAACATATTTCTTTTTTTACTTTTGTATATTTAAATTTGTTTATCGGAAAGAAGCTTGCAGTTAGAAGAAAATTGTATTGAATGACTAATTATACTTGGAGCTCTGTGGACAGAGGAATCAGATAAGTCTCAGCCTGAACTACATTCTAAAATCAAGTGTGCATAGTAATGTGATATACACTCTATCCTCCAGTTGTATTCATTCCAAGGATGAACTCACTGTCAGACAACTACTCCATTATATTTCATCACATGAAGATAAAGAACTAAATCTGCACACATAAGAATATATTCAAAATAAAGTGCAAGAAGCAATTATGGTGTGTGTAGTGCAATAACACATCATATTTATAATGGTCAAAATTGTGTTTAATCTTTTTCCCATAGAAGATAAAGAACTAAATCTGCACATATAAGAATATATTCAAAATAAAGTGCAAGAAGCAATTATGGTGTGTGTAGTGCAATAACACATCATATTTATAATGGTCAAAATTGTGTTTAATCTTTTTCCCATAGAATATATTTGTTTTAGCCAAGCTTTCTGGTCTGTTCTGCCATATTGGGAAACAAATGTACCTGAAAATTGCACAGAGAATTTATATCACACTAATGTATTATTTTCAATTTTTTTGCTGTTTGTTTTTTCTACAATCTTTTCTTTCATTTCAACATCTTCCTTTCATTTTACATATTCAATGTTAACTTTCCATCTCCATTTAGAACTTATATTAGATGACAAAAAGGTTAACAACAAAAAAGTTTGCTATCAGATCCACTGTACCAAATCAGTTAAGAGAAGTTTTCTAGTTGTTACCATGGATTGTTTTTGTAAATTCATCAATATTCCTTATGCTGCTTTACGGAAAAAGTCACTCTCCAAATATATATCTGGGCACACAGAATATTTAAATTTATACTGTATATTTACTGTATACTGTATATTTATATACAGTCATTCGATCACTTTTACAGGGCTAACAGCTCCCATAAAGAAAACCTGCCACTGTCCAAAGTTATCACAAAAATTTTTTTTTTTAAAACTGTAAAAAATAAATTTAAATAAAATCAATAAGAATAATGAAAATGATACAATAAAAAAAACTAATTTGAAAACACCCTCCAATATGCAACTGCAAACACACATGTAGGTATGGCATATTTAAAAGGTGATTGCACCACGCATGTGAAGTATTGTCGCCAATGTCGAGGTAAGAGCAATAAGTCTGATTAACACTAAACTGATAACCTGTAACAATTTTAGGTACCGTAATTTGTTGCCATGTCACAGTCATGCCTAATTTAAAATTTTGACGTTTGATATCTATTTTCTCAATGTAAGATCATCTTTTATATTTTACTATACAATTGGCTATTATTTTGTGTTTGTGTACACTAAAATTCATTTAACTGTATTTTTTCCTGATAATTTGTGTTTAATAAATGACTGTGCGAATATCATGCCAGATAAAAAAATTGCAACAACCGACATATTATTCTCCAGGCCCTCTGCTTTCAGAAAAAAGTAAATTTCTAGCAAAAAAATGCTGATTTTAACATGGTTATCAAAATTGCTTCGATAGTGGTAAGTGGTTAAAACAAAGCCTTCGGCTGTTTGCTCTGCTGTTTATTAATCCCTAGTTTCAGATACTCCAGACACCCATGCAGAATCCTCTCTCTCCCAGAAGTGTAGAGGGTCAACTGTAATCACACCTCACACTCAATGCATCTGCAGTATCCTGCTTTTATTTGCTTTTGGCAGGTGGATTGCATGTTGATGTGCATTGTCATCCGCAACAATAGGCTCTTTAATGGGCTTTAAAGCATCAAAAAATTTACATGAACTTTTTCATCTAAGATACTTCAGTGCTCCGTACAGATGTGAACTAGCACCATTAATAAGAAAAAAAATGGCAAACATGCATACATGCATTAATGTGCATTACTGCTTCCAATCCATGACCAACTTGGTGTTCATGTTGCTTGATATAGAGAAAACAACATTACACATTCTTTCACATTCCTTTTCTGTTCTTTGTCACCGACTGTCTAGTGGTGATATTAACGACTTCAGGACCAGAATGTTACAGCCCCTGTTTCCAGTGCTAAGATAGTATGACACACAATTACTTGCCCAAGCAACACTGAATTTTATATCATTTTTAAGACAGGTCTTTCTTTTGGTGGTATTTAATAACCACTGGGGTTTTTTATTTTGTACTATATACAGGAAAAAAAAGACCTGTTTCCCTAACTTTCTGGTATAAATTATATGACACAAAAATGAGAGGACAGTACAACCACCCCCAAGATGACCACTTTTTGGAAAGTGAAAACTCCAAAAGGGATCTCCCTTTTTGCAACAATTGTTTGGAAATGAAAAAAACATGCTAGCATTGAGGTGTTTAAAATATAAATTAGGGTGTTTAAAAAGTTGCTCACTGTAAAAAAAAAAAAGTTACTCACTGAAACCAAATGATAACCTTTCATTATTAGCTATGACACCAACCATTTGATGGTCATATTAGTGGAAGAAAGCTGAATGGATGAAAAGTTGAAAATTGAAAAACAATCCGGACGCCAAATTCCTTACCGGTTAACTACAGATCTCCTATATTTCACTGGTTTACCTTCCCAAAAATGAATGGACTTTTGTTATGCATTTGACTGGAGTTATGTTATTGGTGGCTACAGTCCTAATGAATAATAGTGCATTTTCCATATTTACCTGTTTCTTCATGTTATGACCTGTATTCTGAAACACTTTAATAAACATTTATTGAAAGTGAAAAACAATCCCACAATCCTTGGTGGTCATTGTATCATAAAAGAAAAACCCCAAACAATTCCACAATCATTGCCTGTCAGTAGCACTTTAAAGTGGAACTAAACCCTCTTCAGCATATGTCTTTTTTTTTCAACAGTGGGACTTTGCGGGGGCTTCTTGCAGATATAGCTTGGCTTCACATAGGCGTCTTCTAATTGTAACAGTACTCACAGGTAACTTTAGACCTTCTTTGATCTTCCTGGAGCTGATTGTTGGCTGAGTCCTTGCCATTTTGGCTATTCTTCTATCCATTCGAATGGTAGTTTTTCGCTTTCTTCCACATCTTTCAGTTTTTGGTTGCCATTTTAAAGCATTTGCGATCATTTTACCTGAGCAGCCTATCATTTTCTGCACTTCTTTATATGTTTTCCCCTCTCCAATCAACTTTTTAATCAAGGTACGCTGTTCTTCTGAACAATGTCTGGAACAATCCATTTTCCTCAGAATTTCAGAGAGAAATGCACTGTAACCAGCATGTACAACATTTGCTGCCTTCCTTCCTTAAATAAGGGCAATAACTGCCACCTGTTTTTCAAAGAATGAATGACCTCACTAATAGAACTCCACACTGCTATTATTTTGAACATGCCCCTTTCAATTAGTGATTCAATTACACAGATTCAGCAGCATGCATGTCATGACTTATTTAGAGTATCTTGCGAGCCAAAATCAAAAGGTCACCCTAATATACAACATATAATATATATCCTCAATATAGTAGGATCGCAGACACCTAACACATAACTACCAATGTGTAAAAAATTTTTTGAATATAATCCTATAATGTTGCGCTCCTAAAAAACTATTGTATATATATATAATCACTTATCCATATCCTTAAACCATATGCAAATAAGTGAAAAAATCATATGATAAATACTTTAACCAGATGACATGCAAAATTTTCTTAATTAGTTTAAAAAATCAAATATTAATTAATATCCGTGATTATACTAAAACTGAATCTGTGATTAAGAATACCTAAATTAATATTACATCACTTGTAATAAAAAAAGAAATATATTACTCAAATAATTTAAATAAATATACATGAATGAATTAATTAATATATATGTGAAGACAGTGTCCCATATGACATAAAAAAATATAAAGTGACTTTGTGTTTTAATTAATCTTCAATCCATGATTGCATGTGAATCCGTGACTGATTGTGAATCCTCCCATTAGTGCAGATGTACGCTCACCTCCTTATCTGCCTATAATTAGGCTATATGCGCTTTTGGTTCTCCTCCTATGGAACCTGCTTGATTAAGACTCTTTCCTTTAGAATAGTGGATATCCGTTGTCACTGGTATGTGCTCTGGGATTGATCCCTTCTCAAGAGGATCCAACTCCTCTATACTCTCCTCTCCATACGTCTCTCCACATATAGGAAAAAAATTCCGGGATGTTTACTAGACTCTTGTGCGGACAGATTTCAGTGAGTTATTCATAAGAATTACAGGCCTGACTCCATGTGATAAACTCGTTCGTGTCCGAGTCCTCCACCAACGTCCACAGCTTACTCAGGAACGCCGGTACGTTCCTGTCCGCACAAGAGTCTAGTAAACATCCCGGAATTTTTTTCCTATATGTGGAGAGACGTATGGAGAGGAGAGTATAGAGGAGTTGGATCCTCTTGAGAAGGGATCAATCCCAGAGCACATATCAGTGACAACGGATATCCACTATTCTAAAGGAAAGAGTCTTAATCAAGCAGGTTCCATAGGAGGAGAACCAAAAGCGCATATAGCCTAATTATAGGCAGATAAGGAGGTGAGCGTACATCTGCACTAATGGGAGGATTCACAATCAGTCACGGATTCACATGCAATCATGGATTGAAGATTAATTAAAACACAAAGTCACTTTATATTTTTTTATGTCATATGGGACACTGTCTTCACATATATATTAATTAATTCATTC